TCTCTGTCTCTGTCTCTGTCTCTCTGTCTCTGTCTCTGTCTCTGTCTCTGTCTCTCTCTCTCCCACTATCTCTCGTCCTGTCTCTCGTTCTGTCTATGTCTTTATCTCATCTGACTCTGCAACCTTTCCTTGCACCCCACACCGGCCATGTCAATGCAAGACATTGGACAGGATTCCCTGATCATACCGGTACTGGGACGCAGGATCCTACGGCGACAACATTCACCACCTCAGCTTGACCATTTCTAAGTCCAAACTCTCCCACTGCTGCGAGGAGCATCTCGAACGTCAAACAAAAAAGACTTGTCTGTCCGTCCGTGTGCCCATGAAAAGACTTGACCTTCTCTTCTAACCTATGCTTGTGCCAGATTAAGAGCACTGCCGCAACATACCCTTCTGCCGCTCCTCCGCTGTCAACACCTGAAGCCGTCGTCATACAAGGGAATCCGCGCAACATTAGGTTGATCTACTCCTTGTCGAACCTCCACCACTCCTCCACCATCCACACCTGCACTTTTCATCATACAATTGAATACATCCACCATGAGGTCCATCCTTCTCCTTTAGGCCTCTGCCGCTTCTCCTTCGCACTCTTCTCCTTGGAGCTCTTCCTCAAGCGACAAGGCCATCTGACCGCACGGCGATCCACTTCCTCCTCAACGACGAGGACAGTCCAAACAACAACAACAACAATGGAGGATCCACTACGCAAAACTCAAAAGCGACCCAGGGACTATCACAAATCCAGAGGCTCACAGACTCATGAACCTCCACGAAAAGCTCTACACGGAAGAGCAATTGCTCCTCATCTGGTGTCGCCACGTCGATCTACACCTAAACTAGGACGACCTTCTTCCACTTTTATCACATCCAGTGCGTAGGGGAGATGGGAAAGGCTGACCCTCCTTTACGGGTTATATCGTTTCCTTGCACGGGTCAACATGAACGGCATACGCCGACACAATCTCGATGACCGTCGCAGCAAGAATATGCGCGATTCTGTTTCATGGGATGGAACCATCTACGGTCTATGTGTTGGCTGTTGAAGTTACCTTTTTTCAACAGTCGGCCACAGGGTATGTTTTATTTGGTATCGTTTCAAATCGACCAAATGTCCCGAAGGACGTTTTATTAGGTATGGTATGTGTGTTGGCTGTTGAAGTTACTTACTCGACAATCTACGTCGAGATATATTTGGGTCTCTGTGTTGGTTGACTGTTGAAGTCACTTACTTACTCGACAATCTACGTCGAGATATATTTGGGTCTCTGTGTTGGTTGACTGTTGAAGTTACTTATTCAACAACCGGCCACGAGGTATATCTTTGGCCTGCGGGTTGGAGAGCACCTATGTTCCAAGTCCCTGGTGTTGGGACACTTACAAGGGGTGTACAAGGCCAGTGCTTCTCTGGACCTTGTGGGTGCGGCAGCCCAATCTGCCGTTATCAGCGACTTCGAAACGATTTGGATCCATGTCGACACATAGTGGCGCCGGCTTGGGACTAGATATATTGTTGCGTAAGGGGTTCGCAGGACAGCGAGCCACACCGGCCGTTTGTTTACCGACAGTAATTTTTTGCTGTCCCGGGGTTTGCTGCTCTGCGAACCACACCCGCCTGTTTGTTTACCGACAGTATTTGTCGGCTTTGGGTGTCGGTCTGAGTGCTATCCCAGGGTTTGTGTCTGAACCTACCCATTTACAATACTATTGGTATTATATTATTATTATTATTACTTCCATACACATCAGACATCCGATTGTTACTCTTCGGTTCTGGCATGCAATTGCTTGGTGTAGAATCGGCACTGATGTAGACTTGACTCGAGTCGGGGTTGATGTTTTGGAACAAGTGTTTGGGTTCAAGGCATCACCCTTGACTAAGTTAGTTAGAATCAACCCTTCACAGGCAGTGCCTTCAACTAGAATCAACCCCTCACGAGTGGTGTTTTTAGCTAGTTGGAGCCCTTCATAGGCATCGCCTTCACGTAAAAGTAACCTTTCCCAGGCGTTCCCCTTAGGCTACCTTGGATAGTAGCCTTTCGTCACCCGAAGAGGAAGGTGCGCCGCGGGCTCAATTGTATTTACATAAGTGAACCCAACACCCCTCCCCAGGTCGGACTCGAGATCGGGACTTGACTCGTATCTCTCCTTCCACCGCAACAAATACAGATATATACCTTTTTTCTCGTGTATGGCTGAACCAGACCTCTGGCAGCCTTACGACCCCTATCCAGAACCCGCCCATCCACAATGGAAAGCACGCGGTGTTGACGGCAACCTAATCAGAATCCGACATCCATGCTACCCAGATGAGACCTGTGACACCCTTCTGAACTTTTGGTCCCCGGCTCACCACGAAACGGTGCGGATTGCCTGTGCAATAGTTGCAAGCAATGCGTGGGAGGAGGGCTATCTGTCGACTGATCGCGATGGGAACGATCCGCTCGACAGAAACCCTGAGATCGCCCTCAGGAGCGCGTCGTACTATTTTCACGCGGCACAACCGATTAATGGTGAGTTGATCTTTCTACCTCTGAAAGGTAGCATTGGCCCGGGATAACTAACACTGAAGGATTTCCTACAGGCACTGCGGTCGACTACCCTGTCGTTCCCAATTTCGAGCACTGGCCATATCCCTCTACGCTTCCCTCCTACTGGACCGAGATCTCGCTTTTCCCCCAGACAGCGCAACCCCCGATCGAGTCACATTACTGCAGGCTTACGCAGTGTGACTATTCTGTGGAAAACGCTCACCTGGTCCCTGCGGCGGAAAGAGAGTGGTTTGACAAGAATTCCATGTGCGATTATACGGATTCTACCGCCATAGACGAGATGAAGCACCCAAACAACACCGTCCGCTTCAGGAGTGACATCCACACCGTCTTCGATGCCAAGCGCTTTGCTATCGTCCCGGTCGGCCGACGACTCGTGGCGTATTGCTTCCACGCGCAACCAGGCTCGCATATCGAGCGTCTCCATCACCGAGTCGAGCTCCACAGACTTCAAAATCCGCCCCAGCTGCTGTTGGCCCGATTCGCATACACTGTCTTTGAAGGTTTACGAGCGTTTCTGAATAGACGTGTGGAAAGAATGCTTCAGCTTCGCTTGGGAAATTCATTGGTGGTCGAGAAATGTGATGCCGAGAAGTGCCAGCAATCTTTTCGAGCAACGGCTTCTCAAGGCAAATCCAGAAGTGTCAGCCCAAAAAAGCGATCAAGGTCACAGGCGGACGAAGAAACGGACATTGAATCCTCAGACAATGGAAAGGATTTGAGGGGCCGCAAGAGACATCGCTCTGATGAACCCATTCGGAGGCCGCTTTCGTTCTCTCGTGATGCTAGCAGTTTCGTCTCTGAAGATCAGTCGATTCCAACATCCGAAGAATCTCGGCTCCCTCTCCATTTCAAAACGGATGATGTCCCCATCTCCTCATCACAGCCAAGTGCCCGTGATCGACTGGACCATCCTGGCTGAAATGGCTTGCTCAACGGTTGGGTATTTGCTCTGCCGTGGAGGGCAGAACGAGATTGTCGGCGTCAAACCACTCCCCGACTGGCCTGTGTTAGGAAATTCAACGAGAATAGCCCTGCCAGTAGTGATTGGTGCAAACTGGTTTATTGAATAGTCTGTCATCTCCCTGAGCGTGGACCCATAGTGGTTGTCGCAATCGGGCTGTCTCCGGCTGGAGCATGGATCTGTTTTTGAGTCTGGACTTGTCGCGTTCTGCACGTCGTGTCCCGGGATGATCGAGGTCAGATTCAGTCCCAGGGACCTGTACAGAGCTAAGAACCCGCGCATCAGCGCCTGCGTGTGGAAAGGGGTGCGCGACGTGCGAGGCAGATCGCATGATACCCGAGAGTACGGACGCGAAGGACCATAGCTTGATCGACATGGTCACTGTCGTGATGACGATGTCGGCCATCAGGTACGACACTACAACGTTGCCGAACAGCGGCTCGTATTTCACGACGAACACCGGGGTTACTCGACAGCACCCTTTCCGAGCATGTTCAGGACCGTGATGCTGTGCTGCCCTGACGAGCTCGACAGGAGTATTAGCAGCTTCGTGGGTATGAGTACGAACGACGAGAGCACTATGGGGACCACAAGCATCACAGACATCGTATTCTACAGCAAGAGGCTGCGACTTGCGTCCTGAACCTCAAACCTGCACAGTCTATGTCGCTCTTGGATCGATGCACACTTTCATTGATCCAATACACCATCTATACATGAATAAGGTGGCTTGCATATCCACGCTAATCTGCCCAGCTTGGCAGGTAGCGGTGAGTAATGCTAATACATCACTTTTGCGGGTGTTAGAGTCGAGCACTCAAGCAGGATTGGATTGGCTCTCTGTCCCCTGTCCTTGCAGCTTTGAGCTCTCGTTCTCTGTGCCGCCATATCTCGATCTCTAATCCCCTGGCCTCTTCTGGATCCACGATCGCCAGTTTCGGCTCTCCTCTCCATTGGCCATCCCAACGCCTCCTACAGCTGGAACAGGTTCGCATGGTCATGCGGCTGTCGAGGCGCTGGACGCAGCCTTAGCAATAAATCGCACCAACAGCGGCTGTCGAAACCATCTGGAGTCTTCCTGCAACTATCCAAAATGAAGACAAATTGACCACCAAATACTCGGTCCGAACACACTACCTATTTGTCTAGCTACATCCTCTTTACAGCCACACAAGCAGTTTGCGGCCCACCGCCAGATAGCCCTGGTGCTCCTGTGCTATAACCAGGCATGTTCTTCGGGTGTCAACTGGTTCAAAAGCATTGTACTCCGTACTTCACAGTATGGTCAAGACTCACACGACAATGACATACCCTTCTCATGTGGCGACAGCTACTCCTCCAACGGCCACTTCCTCTTCACCTCTTTCTCCGCCCTGTGCTGCAGCCTGTTCTCCTGCCCGCTCCTCCAACGCATCAATCGAAAGTTGCCCTAGCAAAACTCTTCCTCGTGGTAGAAGTGAAAGTGCACCTCCTCCTCGGATGAGTTTAGATTTCATTCTCCGACCTCGGACCATGGAAATCAGTTTTATTCTCAACGACCATGTCAAAGCCAATGACAACCACAACGAGAACAAGAACAAAGAGGATGAGGAGAACCAGGCAGAAGAAGAGGCAGAACGCCAAACCTTGTCACAGCCAAGGAGCACGCCTCGAGACAACGATTCGGAGCAGCACACTCCGCGAGGGTTGAGGTATACGGAGGAGGAGCAGCTGTTCCTCTGGTATCACCACGTCGATCTCTACCTGGACTGGGACGAAACACTCACCCAATACCGACTTCAGTTTCCTGACAAGGTCAGAAACCAGAGCAGTCTGTCCTTCTGCTTTGACCGGCTTAGACGGCACAATTTCCATGGCATCCGGGGCAGACAGGGTGTTCGCGGGGGTCGGTCCAGACCAATGCACAGGTGTATCGGCAGGCGCTTTGCGTGGATGAGGCCGGAACATCGTTGACACGCTGACAGAACACTGCCCGGTGGTGTAGTAGTGGATGGTGATTGTCCTTTTCTCCAAAGGACCCCGAATGCGCATTGTCACTGCGTCCATTTCGGACTTTTCAGCCTACCGTCCAAGAGCCTTGCAGGAATCGTATATATACCTATACCTGGGTCAGGGTTCTCTCATGCATATATATGCGTGGATCGGAAGGTTGTTCATTACACATGGGTTTGGTCCTCCACTGATAATCATACTGTATGGTTCAAATGGAACCAACAGTGAGAGTCATCACATGTCCAGGTGCATTCGAGACAGGACTAACTCGTGCCTCGGTACAAGTGACCAGGATGTACTTTTGATTTGTAAGTTGGATCTTCCCGCTGACCGAATGCAATATTCCTGTGCATTGGGACTTTGCATGCTATCAATATTGCTTGGTCTACTTCGTAACACAGGCACTGAGGCAACATTTGGTTGCTGGAGGCTGTCAATGTCAGCAACAAGACTGTACGGACCAGCCAGCATTTGAATGAGCCTCTCACATTCCATACCACTCTTTGCATCAATGTACGAAGTGGACCAGCCAGCGCGTGGATGCACCTCTCACATTCCGCACCATTCAATCATGCATGCACGAAACTCACTAGCCCCGGACCGTGCATACCAAGGAATGATGATGAATGGCTACAGGTTGGTTGCTTGATCCATGATATTTCAGTTGAAAGTTGAGTCCCAACATGCAAGGGATACGCGAAATGAATCTGCCCAGTACTCCGTGTCCCTGTCAGCAGGTCGCCTCTTCCTTTCCCGCCGCGTCTGTCTTTTTGACACCTGCATCTCTCATATGACTCTTCCATCTCAATGGCTATCCCGTCCAATGATGTCCCAGGCCCTGGCAAGGTTCCCCGTTTGTCAAGTTTGGCGGGGCTGACCACTAGTCAGTGAGGTTGAAAAGTGGTTGCGGCAGCAGGTCTCTTCATCTGGAAACTATCAGACGCCACCAAGTCTGATGGGACCAGGATTGCCAGAACGGATCGTGCATGTGCACCATGGCAGTCTACAATCGACAATGATCTTTTTCCAACAGGTAAGGCATTTATTACCGAGTGAGTGATCCGTCTTTCCAGCCACCTAGACATTTGCTGATAGTCGTAGGCATGTTTCTGGAGGAAGACCATGGTGGCTGCTGGTCATGTTGAGCTAGCTACCCTTTTGAAAAGCTCATTAAAGAGAGACACTTTAACCCGTCTTCTTCTTTGAAGCTCCGTAATCTTCGATTCCTGCTACCACTTGTATTGACTCTTCACAAACACATATCCACACAAACACACACATACAGTATGGAATACACTTCTTCGCCTCCACTATCGTCCTCTTCTTGGGAGCGTTCATCCCCTCCTCGGGCTCCTTGTTGGGCACCTTCTTCGCCCACTTCTTCAACGCCCTCAAATGATGGTGGCTTAAGCAAAGGCGATGAAGGCGAGCAACGTCATCGGAGGATGAGCATCCAGTTTCTGACCTCCTTGAGTGATACGGGAACGGACTACACTTCCTCCTCTTCCTCTTCTTCCTCGGCTTCTTCTCCACCGATTCTTGGGACAAGTTCTACACAGAAATCTCCCAGTACATCAAGCGAGAACGCCTCGGAAGAACCAGTTTGGGTCCAGAGTCGACTTAGAAGGATGTCCATTGACTTTGTGATGGACGAACCCCTGATGCGGAAACCGGCACCAGGATCAGCAAAAGGACCAGCAACAGGACCAGCACCAGAACCAGAACTAGAAGAAGCCTGCAACAACAAAAAGCCCACGACGGGCAAATTTTCTGCTCCAGTGTCTCTGGACCCAGATGGACTGTCGGCAAGACCTCCGTACACGCAGGAAATGAACTATTTCATCTGGTACCATCGAATCGACCGCGGTCTGTCGTGGGACACTGTCACGTACAAGTTCAATCGCTACTTCGACGAAAATCGACCGAAAATCGGGCTCCAGTGCCGATTCTATCGACTTCTCGCCCAAAACAAAGTCGCGCCCGTCCGGCGGCAACTGGACTCCCCTCCTTATGGTCAGGTCACAAGGTTACTGGATTTTACAGAACTCCGCTTTCCGTGGATGCGGCGTGCGCATCGGAAGCGCCGTGGTGTACCTCAACGGCGGACTTGTGCCGTCGTCAGTGACAGGGGTGACTAGTAGGAAGCCTCTTGCGGGGGGCAAAGCAGTCAGAATTGGCCAAATAGTCAAAGCGATGGTTCGCCAAGTGTATATGAATCAGAGTCAAGGTAGGAGTCAGGGCCAGCTGCGGCTATGACAAACAGTAGCTACGGCCAAGTGTACGAGTAGTTAGTTCTATGCACACACACACACACACACACACACACACACACAACACCATCACGTTCAAATTATGTGACTTCTTCCTCTGTAACTGCTCACCAAGTCTCGATTCTCTGTTTCTTTCTCTTTTCCTTCAGGCATCCACTCACACGGACAATCACACTCTATCTTTCCCTCTCCCCGTCCGGCATCTGTCCTACATAGTTCGGTTGATCCGATCCTGCACATTCAGGGCTGCTTCTCGGCTGTGATTGCGCGTTCACGACTGTGGAGGGGCCGTCGTTCGTTGACTCGCTCTCGATCTAAGCTGGCGCCTTTAGATAAATCTGATCTATCATCTTTCTTGCTGTTCGGCCTACACATCCCCTATCTCAGCCCGCACCGAATCGCCCCATCCGGTCCAACATCCCACGTCCCACGTCCCACATCACACCACGCAACACCCGCCTCGCCTCGTCTCGCCTTGCCTGGATCGTCGCTTCGTCGCATGCTAATGCCCGTCCTCACTGGGCCTAGCGTGGATGTGATGAACCGGTGGCGTCGTGATATTGGCCTCGACCCTTGAATCATCACATCTTGGCTGGATGCAAGGATCTATATTTCGATACACTACGGGGTCCTTTCGAATTCGAAACCATGACAGGATGCCAAGACGCTGCTTTCGAGGCCCCATCGTCCGTAACCATTCGATGATGGGCCATGGCCCATGGCGCGAGACGAGGCGAGTCGACTAGGGACCGGCAATTCGTGGACTTTGGGGTTGACTCGATCTCGAAACTAGTCTAGATTGATGAAAAAAGTCTATCTTGTACCCCAAGACGTGCAAACCTTATGCCAGCAAGATCTTAGTGTAACGCTCCAAAAATCCTTGTCGAGACGACATCTCCGATTCACCCGTTTCAAGAACGCAGGCATTTGTCATCACTTGACCGAATGCGTCTGCGTAGTTTCGGACCAGAAGCAAGCCGTTGAGATCAGTGAGGCTGACCAGGGTAAGACCTGGCATCTCTGTAAACAGACTAGTTTGACAGACCTCTCACTCCGAGTAAGCGAGACCAAGGGCCTGAGCCAAATCACACCAGAGACGGGCCAAGCTGCCAGGCACATTTCCGCTTTGGCATGCGGACGTCAGGCGGCAAATCGCAACTTGAAGCGCCAATTGGAAATACCACTAAGCGAATCACTCGGTCTCCGTTGCCAACCGACCCAGAAATAATCCAGACACCAACCACTCATACAATCACGATCCACAGATCCTTGTCGTCTGCATGAGAATCGCCCGCCTGGATGCCATGACTCTTTTGTCTAGGGAATAGGGCGTCTGCGAGACGATTGACCCGGCTTTTGCTGCTTCAGCCAGCCGTCGTCACACCGGATCAGCCTTCAGCCCAACATCCCGCGTGTGACTAGCTTAGTGCCAACAGAGTTGACACAGCGTACGCCTAACATCCCGGGGTGTGTGCGCAGATTCTTTCCTGAGACATTGCATTTCCTGTCATGTCCCCATGCGGAATAATATCCTCCATGGGAGAAATCTGGACAGGCTCAAGGCGATCTCGCCGGCAATGTACGTACAACTGGGCCCCTTCCACTCCATACTTCTTTGAGGCGTGCCTCGAACTCTTCCACCTTTCCTATGGTGAGTCTAACCGAGATGTGCATCCATCCATTCTTCGGTAGAACCGATGTACACGGGAAGAACACAGATGTCTTGCATCTTTACATCTGTACGGAGGATGTATTTGCACCACCCTCAAGCCTGACACGCCTTGCTCGACGAAGCAAAGTCGTCCAAGTTGGCAGTATTCAGCTCAATCTGACTCTCGGCCGATCATCCGCTACTTTAATGACAAGGCCTAACCCATCTCTGCTTGTTGCTTCATGCTTCAACCCTCCGCTTCACCTCGTCAAAGTAAGTTGAAAAGACACACTCCTCGATCATGTCGCCGTCTCTTCATCCATCAGCAACCTCCGCGCCTGGTTCGGGTGATTCACCCACCACGGCAGCAGTCCCCGACTCCTCTTGCTCGGCGCCCTCAATGTTCTCTCTGGCAAGTACACGATTGCCAACGCCTTGGTTGCTCCCAAGTAAACCCCTCTCAGACTCTCTTCAAGGGAAAGCCTTGTCCAAATGGGGCGAACCCCGTCGTATCTTTGTCCGTATGGGCAGGCTGATATATCTCTGGACAGAGGAGGAGGTTTGTCACACATATCCTTAAAAGCTGCACAACCTGCACACCCCGTTTTCACCTTGTCCACGAGACATGACTACTAGTGGTGACTGACATCCGCCTAGAAAAAGTTTCTGTGCGCAAGCCGAGCGAAAGGTGTCTGTCTCAAAGATATCGCAAAAGAGTTAGGTAAATCAGTTGAGCAATGCCGACAACGACTCCTTTCCGTGCAGCGAACTCGAGACATGGCAAAACTATACCGTGCTCATGCGAAGATGCGACAGTCGACGACGGATTCCAACACGACTAGCACTATTGATTCTGATAGGAATAGCTCAAGTCTCGTCCATGAGAGCGACGAGTCACACAGCTCGGCCAACGAGGACGTACGCGTAGAAACACCCTCTTGCTTTTTGACACCACCGGACCACAAACATTTCCCGGGTTTCAAGCTGACAACTACGCTAGGAAAACACTCCCTCGCACTGTCCAGACGAGAAACTCGGCCCCTCCGTAATTGCCCCCCGCAGTCTCGATTCGACAGTCTGCGAGCACCCCGAGCGCGACAACGCCTCGACCGGAGGAAAGGAGACAGTCGGAAAGGCAGCCTCATCCCAAATCATCTCTTCCGCACTGTCCCCACCTCTCGACAACCCTGGCTCTTCATCATCGAAGGATATGTCAAACAACGTTCATCCTGATCGTGAGCAATGCCCCAACACTGCAACAAGCTCACAAATTCAGGCGGTACCGAAACCCTCGTTGCCCAGTTTCGACGAGTTCCTCAGGACGACCTTTGTGGATCGTTACGAATGTTGCGGGCGGAGGATGATCCCCTGCTCCCATCCTCCACAGAGCAACAGACCTCGGTCAGAGTCTTAGAGAGAGGGTCGTGTCCGCACTCATTTGCAGCCAGCCAAAAAGGGGGAGTGAGACGGAGCAATAAGGGCGTGGATTGTTGGTTTATAGCACATTTGATCATGTAGGACGATAAGAGGCGTCACGGCTCACGACGGACGGAGTCATCATCACAGAGTACAGCATACTGAGTACGGGATTCTGGGTTGGATCGTTGGTCGCTTACTTGGATTCATAGTCCGCTGTAATCGTAGGTACCTGAGTTTATATGGAGTACTAGGCGGTGAACATGTACACACAATGGAGGTACGCCAAGTAGCCGACTACCAAGGCTCCTGTACGTAGTGTACTTTGTACACTGTCGCAGGACCCGATTGCATAATTCACGGGTGGTACACGTTTACTACTCTAGGTACCTAGATACCTCGCATTCCTTTACCTAGGGTTAGGTACGTTCCAGGATACTAGTTAGGTCAGATAGGTACGGTATACCCAAGACAGACTTGGAACTTTCCATAACACTCACCTTATCCTCTTCCCTTCCTACGCGGCTTTGCTAGGTAGGTGGTAGGTACCTATATACCTACTCGTGTGTTCCTCCTCCATCCACATCCCTCTTCCCTCCCACGTCCGCGCAGCTCATGCCAGTTTTACTCAACATCTACTTTCATCATTCACAACCCCCCATCTGAGTACTCGAGTTGGTTGACTGATCCGTCGGAGTTTCTCAATCGACCATCTGTCTGGTCGGGTCAGGTCGGAGGGCTCGTTTTAGCCATCCTTGCATAGAGCATTAAATTGACCGCAGTGCGTCACTACGCTCAACGGCCGAGTCCGACTAGTCATCCCTCTTTCCATAGGCATGACGACGCATGTTCTGCGGCCCGCGGACACCTAGTGGCATCCCTCCCTGCCCTGCGAGGTACGCTGTCCACCAACGAAGCCTTTCCGTTGAAATGAGAGGATCCAACAGAACAGGTAGCGCTGCACCCAACGACTAGAGAGTGGATGGCTCGCCCAGCGACATGTCATACAGTCCTCCTTCTCGATCGTCTTCCCGGTCCTCCTCCTCCTCAGTCGTTTCCTCCCCTTATCAGGCATTGCCGTCCCATTTTTGCCTGATCTCCTCCTCCTCGAGACTTCCGAGTATGTTGGCGACCAGTACATCTCAGCTGATGTTGCATCCATCCTTCTACGCTTCACAAACAAGTATAAGCTAGCAAATGGTTGTCTTTGTCCCAAAAAACATAGGGCCTAGCACGTACAACCAGAATGTGGCTGCTCGTTTCCACCTGATAAACAAGCGGCTGGCCTCATAGCTGTATTCATGACGGCAGGCGGTTCAAGCTCACATCAGCATGCGGTTTTGATGCCAACCACACTCGATCTAGAGTATCTCCGCTTCATGACAGTTGCAGGCAGAGTTACACACAAAATCGGCTGCAGGTGACCGGCGGACCGCCAATTCGACAGATTCTGTTGGAGGAGTCCTTCTCCCATGAAACACCCGGATCTAGAGTGGAAATAACGCAAATCAAGAAGGCAACGAAGAATGCGCTCAGTTTCCATCTAATGAGCATCTCCAAAACACAACCCGTCAAGAGCGCTCCGTATCCCTACTTACGCACAAGGTGAGAAGTCTGTTGCCTGACTTTCGTATCTCCATTCAGCTAACTCATTGCAGCCTCGGAGATCGTATCCGGCGTGTAAAAATTCTCTTCACGCCATTGGCTCGCCTTTGCCTTTGGTCACTCAACAATGATTGACAAGAAGGCACTTTGAAAGTTCAAAATGCGGAATCTGGACGCCGAGCCCAGACATGGAACCCAGACGCGGAGCCCACGCGCGGAGTCTATACAAGCGGAGCCTATGCAGGCGGAGTCTAGAGTTCAGACGCGGAGCTCAGACGTGGAGCTCACAGAGTTCACACGCGGAGCACGCAGATAAAGCGCAGCTCTCACCAATGGTGTCCTGTCCACTAAACACGCCGCATTGTGCCTCTCAAAAGCCATATGATCAATGCAATGTGAACGATGTCGTTGCTGAACCTGAGACCATCCTGGTCGTTACGAAGCACGACGCGAATGTTGAAAGTGAGAAATCAGTTCTCCACAAAACTGAGAGAGAACTAGACACGTTGATGCATCGATACCGGAAGAAGCAACTCAGCGGACACGACGTGTTTCACCTGGGGCAGTCTTGAATGAAAGCACCTTTGATGAGTATGCCGCAAATCCTCAATTCCGCCAGCTCCCAACTGAACTGCGATCATGGCTGGTGGTTGGGGCCAACAGCCGCAATCAAACACGAAAAAAACAGCGTCACACCCAATGATGAGGGCTCTTCCGGCGTGAGACACAGACCGGGATACCAGTATCTTTGGGAACATGTTCGAAATGGCACGGACCAGATACCGTTGTCGCGAAAGCTGAAGTATCTGCGAGTCTGGATCAGCGATTGCGCGCCGTGGCTTGACATGTTGGACCAAGAGCGCCACTTTGGTATCCGAGCATCTTCTTCGCTCGCTGGGCTGCCATCTCGAGTAGCCAGCTTTACCTCACTGCTTGTGTCATGATGCTAGAGATCAAACCAGACGGAATGTCCCCTATTTCCGACTCGGACTCTTCTCTTCCGTGGCATGCACGACGAATTGTCGGCATCTCCTTGACAAATCCGCATGCTGGATGCATCGACAATGCCATCCGACCTCTCTATGTGGCCAGGAAGCTTCTTACTCACCGGGAGGAGCAAGGGGCTATAGTCAACCTGGTTGTCTCTACCGAGGCACAGACAGGATGGGGATCACGATTCCGACTCAAAGATCTGGTAGCCGTTTGGGGATGTCACCGTTGAGGGCATTCATGACTGCTTAACATTTCAAGCTCCAAGGACATGAAAGACTCCCAAAGTTCCAAGTTTTCAGTGTTTGAAGAGCTCGAAAGTCCTATTCATTATGAGTAGTCCCCCCCCCCCCCCCCCCAACACACACCTTTCACAGACTGACTCAGTGCTCAGGATTTGATACACTAGACCAAAGTATGCTCTGGGGTTCTTGTGATGACCAAAAAACGCCCAGCTGTTTCCGATCAGCAATCCCGGCGACTGCTTGACGAACACACGAAAATGGAACACCGAAACCTCCGTTCAGTAATGGCTCCACTCAGACGCCTCTATGCATTCTACCCCTCGATTATAGATCAGCAGAACGACCAGTCTGCAAATTCTCAACAGGAAATATGCCTGCTCGTCAGTCCCTTCAGTGTCTGTCGTAAAGTTCTGTCTACCGTTGCTTTTTGCCGACGTCGCTGAGCTGGAGCGGCATTTGAGAAGGTTCATGTGGCCGTAATTTCAAAGGAGACGCTTGGCAGGCTTGTCGAGTCCTCAGGCATGGTCCACGTGTAGTTCCAGAATTCGAAGTTGCTAAAGAATCCCAGAGTCAACCATGTGTACTTCAATCCTTGGCCAATCTTTGGCAAGAGGGGGCTTTCACGTGCCACAAAGACGCATGAGAAGGAGAGGATATGACTCACAATCGAGGAGAACAAGCCCCTCCGGCTAAGCCACAGAAGCTGACAACAGGCGTGGCATTCACGGAGCCGCCGATCACTTGAATATCCACGCCCGAGACATTGTCGAGGCTGGGTATGTCACGGGTTGCGCCCCACGGGTTAGTGGCGAGGATGAACTCGAATGTGCTGGTGGAGTTTCCGTGCGGGTACGTAAGATTGAGGAAGTTGGGTCCAACCTCGACGTCCATGGCATGTTGGTCGCCTGCTGCCAGGGTGAAGAAGCCGACTGAGTTATCGAAGCGGAGCCACTGCACGACAGCGGCGTTCCACTGCTGGGAATGATCCATCACGCCTGGAGCATCGAGGAACGACATGGCTCCGATGGTGAGGTTGTCAGAGACCCACGAGGTGATGTTCCGGGGCACTGCGTCGCCAGGAGGCGCGTATGCCGACGTGACATATGTATGCTCACCTCGGAAAGTAGTAAGGTGCTCGATGACCTCGGTGGGCACAAGCGCATCGTGGTGGGACGCAAGGATGGCCATGAGCGGGGCGTATTCCAGGTCATCAGCGTGAGCCATGGACCAGGACTATGCGCGACAACGTTAGTCAAGATCGCAAGAGCAGGCGTGGACACGCCACTCAAACTCACCTTGTCGTACACGGGGGCGTTCTCTTTGCCCAACAGAGTCCAGAGGTAGAGTGCGAGGAGACTGAAATACTGGTTCATGTCATAACCATAAGATCGATCCCATGGACCAGCCAAATTCTTCATGGCCGGGTGGTAGGTTTCGGCCAGAGAAAGCCAAGTGTCTTTGATCATACGCGCCCCGTTCTGCTTCATGATCGAGTCCGGAGGCAGGTACTTGTCCCACATGGTCAAGGCGTAGAGGGTCACCCCGGTATAGGTCGCGCTGTTGAACTCGGAAAGAGTGAGATTGCGGTCGAACAGCTCGATGACCTGGGCCGCCCAATTCTCGCCGAATGCGGTCAGGTTAGCATTGTTGAGCTTGCGGCCAATCCAGCTTGCCTGAATACTACGCATGGTTGATGGGTTGGTGTAGCCAGGATTAAGATTGCCGTACGTCAGTCCTCCCAGACGGTAAGTGTCGCCCACGGTGCTGTTGTATACACTCTCGATGATCAGCTGCTGGAGGTCGTTAGGGAGCAACGACTGAAACTCCTCGTAGATGAGAATCAGTGCGGTGCCGATGAAATTCCGCCAGTTGGGATCAAAGCTGCCGTACGGCTATGCATCAATTAGTCAATTGATTCTCGATCCCAGCACCTCAGAGTGACTTACCGCGGGAGGGTATGCATCTGTGCCTACGGTCGGCTCTTCTGGGTAGTACTGATAGTCGCCATACCTGATTCCTGGTTGGCAAGACGAATCTTTTCCCTTGAGTGGGGACATACGTACCATTCTGTCGTAGGATCCTTGTGCTGCGACCCGATGATGTTACGGAGGATCTTGATGCCTTGCTCGGCATCGTCATTCTGATTGCGTTGCAAGAGTCCTGCCGCATACCAGGCTGAGGATCGAGTCTCATGTGTCCCCGCGGCGAGTGGATAGTAAAAGTAGTGGAGGTACCCAATGTCTGCGTCGTAAATTAGGTCCATGAAGTTCATCGACTCGTCGAGCATTTGTTGGGCATTGGAGGACAGCTGGGCCGCCCTCGTTATGCCCGACAGGGACAGGCAGAGGCCTGTGGCCCAGGTAAAGCCATGTGTGAATCGCATCTTGGGTGTGCAGATTTTTCTCAGAGCGGAAAAGAAGAAAGAGTCGGCCACAGCGACCACCAGAAACTCCCAGCCATCATTGTCGCTATATCTTTATAGATTCATGCGCGAAATCGGAAGACTCCAAGCCGATCACTCCAACACCTTCCCAGCCATCTCGATAGCATGGTCAGATTTTCGCCGAGGTGGACTGCGTTCCCCAGAGTTTTGGTTAGACGCAGCTGCGGAGTCGCAACCTCGAAAAGATTAGATAACTGCCGACGGCAATTGGGCGGAGTAGCGGCCAATTCCGACGGGGCATGTCCAGGGATAGGAGCTGCAAGAAGGGGGATCATGCCCGGTGAATCCGGCCCGGTTCACCGGGAGTGTGATTACACGAGTCGCGTGCCCCAGCCATAGTCTCTCACCACCTCACATCCACATATGTGCTCTGGTACGGACGTGGCAGCGATGACTCGGTTGCAGCTGATAAGCCCCCGACTTCGTGAGGCCGGAATCGACAGTGTATATAGCAGCACCACGGGCCTCCCCATACCCACGACACGCACGCGACGTCCAGAAAAGGCTCCACCATCTTATTCGAGCGTTTCGGCCCAAGTCGAGAACAGACAATGGAGGACTACTCCAAGACTCCTGATGCGGCAGCCATGAATGCACCCGCGACCAAGGCTGGCGAAGTCGACGGCGACGAGCTGCGGCTGGCTCAGATGGGTACGGGCGAGAGCTCTTCCACTTCCAATTCGATTCTCCATTCATCCCTGCTGACCGAAGAAAATCACAGGCCACACACAAGAACTGAAGCGGCACTTTACCACACTTTCTTTGATCGGGCTGGCGTCCACCACGACCATCTCTTGGACCGGCCTGGGTTTGGGTATAGTGACCGAGATCAACGCCGGCGGTCCTGGGGCCATCATCTATGGGTTCATTCTTGTCACGCTCCTCCAGTGCTTCCTGGGAGCTTCGCTCGCGGAGTTCGTGTCGAGCTACCCGACCGAAGGCGGCATGTACCACTGGATCGCGGCCGTGGCCCCCAAGCGGATGATGGCGTTCTTGAGCTTCGTCACCGGCTGGTTCACCGTGGCTGGATGTGAGTGACAGACAAACACAAATTCACACGAGCCGGGGGGGATGCGAAGCAGTTGCTAACGGGGGTCGCCTCTCAGGGATTTTCACGACCGCCTCGACGAATCTGATCTACGCTCAGACCCTTGGGGCTCTGATTGCCGTGTACCACGAAGACCTCGTCTTGACCACCTGGCAGATTTTCATCATCTACCAGGGGCTGAACCTGCTCACCGCGGCCGTGGTCATGTTTGGCAACCGGGTGATCCCGGCGTTGAACAAATTCTCCCTCTTTTACCTACAAATCGGCTGGTTGGTGGTCCTGGTCACCGTGGTCGCATGTGCCCCGACGCACCGTCGCAGCGAATTTGTCTTTCGGACCTGGATCAACAACACCGGGTGGAACAACTCGGTCATCTGCTTCATCACGGGCCTCGTCAACCCACTCTACAGTCTGGGCGGCTTGGACGGTATCACGCACATCACGGAAGAAATGCCAAATGTAAAGTTTTCTCTCACGCCCCAACATTCGACCGAGTATTTCTGACACTGACGTTTTACCTGCCTTGTTTCCAGCCTTCCCGCAACGCCCCCATTGCACTTTGCATCACCCTGTCCATTGCGTTTTTCACCGGCATCACCTACCTGATCGGTCTCATGTTCAGTGTCCAGGACTATGCGGCGTTGTCCACCACCAACACGGGCCTGCCGCTGTGCGAACTCTTTCGACAAGCGACCCAGTCTGCCGGTGGCGCTTTTGGTCTGACCTTCATCCTCTTCGTCGCACTCGGACCCTGCGTCATCTCATCCCAACTGTCGACCGGCCGTGTCTTTTGGGCCTTTTCTCGCGACAACGCCCTACCCTTCTCCCCGGTGTGGGCTCGCGTCAGCGGCCGCTTCGGCATGCCGCTCAACGCGCAGCTCGGCGTGACCGCCGCCAACGCCCTGCTCGGTTGCATCTACCTGGGCAGCAGCACCGCATTCAACAGCATGCTGGGCTCTGCCGTCACCATCAACAACTGCGCCTATTTGATCCCGATCCTGACCAACATGTTGACCGGGCGCAGGAACATGTACCGGGGTTGGTTCCACATGAACGGGCTCTTGGGTTGGGTCGTCAACGGCGTGACGGTCTGCTGGCTGCTCTTCGCCATCGTCTTCTTCAGCTTCCCGTACAGTAAGCCGGTCGAGGTGTCCAACATGAACTACACCTGCGTTGTTCTCGGCGGCCTCGTGGTGCTGATTCTGGGATGGTGGTTTGTGGCGAAAGGGAAATATAAGCAGAAGATTGCGGCGGCCAAGGAGCAATAGATGGGCCACCACTCGTGTGACAATGGTCAATCTACGTGGTCCAGGGAGCAATTTTACGGACATGGAAGGGAGAGACGGAGGCTGCGAGTTGTAGATGAGGACTAGCTACGGTTGTGTCGAGAGTGAACTTTGTTCGTATCCATAGCCTTGGACGTGGGAAGATTTGTTCCCCTCAGTCAAGGTTCAATCGTGCTCCAAACGCTCTAGATTCACATAATGCCAATTTGCAGAACAATGACATGTCAAGGACACTACGTTCGCCGACCCGAGGCTCTGGAATGAGCAAGGTACATGGCGCCAGTTCAAAAGGAGGATCACGAGACCCCAGATAAATTTTAGATACTACGCTAGGAATACGTCAGCACTAGAGTAGTTTCAGGCCGCAAATACCCACTTCCAGGATGTTCCCGATCATTCCTAACTAGAGGTATCTGGCAGTCCACCTCCGGGCCGGGTATCATGCACCTAAGACAGGTCACTGTGCAAATGCTGTCCGGCCAAACCCGGCATTAGCGGACCTGAGTTTTATTGTTGCTGTGAGATAGACGCTGAAGGCCAGTGGAGATCAAAGTCGAGACAGAATCGAACCCCAGCCACTCGGGAGTTTGCTTAGGTCGCGGGCTCGAGATATGAAGCTGAGCTGTGCACGAGGTGTGAAACGGTGCTTGGTCCCCAGTGAAGAATTGTCGCCCAACCTCGAATCTTACAAGCCCTTTGGAGCACAATCAAGATGAAGGTGGTGATTTTGAGTGACAGTCAAGCAGCCGCCGCCAACATTGCGCAGCACATTATCGGTAAGTATTTGCATTCTTTCCCGGTCTGCCCAGGAGTGGTGACTGGTAACATTTTAACGTGGAGATACAGATCGAATCAACAGCTTTGCTCCCACGGATACACGGCCATACTTTGTCTTGGGCCTTCCCACTGGGAGCAGTCCACTCCCGATTTATCGGTTGCTGGTCGACGCCTATCGTGTTGGCACCGTCAGCTTTCGCAATGTCGTCACGTTCAACATGGATGAGTATGTCGACCTGGAACAGACCCATCCAGAATCCTATCACAGTTTTATGTTCACCAACTTCTTCAACCATGTCGACGTCCAGCCACAAAACATCAACATCTTGAACGGTAATGCCGCAGATCTCGATGAAGAATGCGCGCGCTATGAAGACAAGATCCAAGCCGCGGGCGGTATCGATCTGTTTCTGGGCGGAGTCGGGCGCGACGGGCACATCGCCTTCAATGAACCGGGGTCCAGCTTGGTGAGTCGGACCAGAGTCGAGGTATTGGCACAGGACACGATCCACGCGAACGCTCGCTTCTTTGGTGGTGATCTGTCTCTAGTACCCACGAGAGCTCTCACCGTTGGTGTCCAGACCGTCATGGACGCTAGAGAAGTGGTCATTATCGCCACCGGTGCTCAAAAGGCGTCTGCCGTGCGCAACGCAATCGAGGGCGGCGTCAGTCAGATGTGCACTTTGTCTTGTCTCCAGCTGCATCCAAACGGCATTGTGGTGGTGGATGAGGACGCTGCCCTTGAGCTCAAATATGCCACTGTCAAGGTGAGCCTTTGCACACCCTACACAAGTGCTCAATAGGCTAATGAGTTGCGGAACAGTATTTCAAGAGTCTCGGAGATCTCAGCACCTTGAATATATCCAAACACCAACGACACAGCGTACTTCCGAGGACAAAACTGTGTGCGACGCCACCCCAGACACCAGATTCCAAGTCATATTTGGAAGACGATGAGCTGACTCCTGACCGAATGTCGTCACGGATTATGACGTGGCCACTTGCTGCCAGGCCCTTTTGAAGGCGTATTGCCATAGCTATGTGAGTGGCAGCATCTGACCGCTCACTGACCAACTAGGTAGAGCTAGCTGTTGGAGACTGTTCTGGTCGAAGATCTCCCATGAAGAATCAAAGGCAAGAGGTATATTTTCTGCCTGAGTATGTTGTTGCTGAAATTGGGCATCACGAAAATTGATCTGTTCCAAACCGGGCTCTAGGCGAGCAATAAGTCTTGCCCGAAGTCCTGGAACTGGCTCATGGATTTGTCGGAGAACACCAATGTGATTTTTGATGTGTTCCAGATCTAGATGTATGTTAGCAACTCTCAATTCTGTGGACGCTCGTGACATGCGTACCGTTTTCTTGTCCAAATCCTGCCTCAAGTCCCTGCGTGACAATAAGAGCAGCCCAGGAGATCATGACAAGATCCCAATTCGACCAGATGGTCTTATCATTTGCGTGGAGTTGGAGGGCAGCACGCGCCGACAGCAAGAGCTCACTTTGGTCTCGCGGTGACATGGTCCGAGAGTAGAGATTGCACCCTCGTGCCGGGTGGTAGATGGACAAGACCATCAGACGATGCAGGATGTATTGACGGAACACCAAGGCGCGATCCTCGGGCGAATCCTGGTTAGAGCCACTGAATTCGACAAGCCAGTCATCCAACTGTCTGGCCCAGTCTCGAATTACGGCCGCATCAGTCCCACTGAACGTCAAGCCTGAACTGTCCAGCCGGGAGGGCTCCAGTGCAAAACAGGACCAGATCGTAGGCAGGCCACGGCCGGTGAAATGCGTCAGCCCGGCATGCATGATCCGAGACAGTCGAGATAACTGGTCGCTGGCCGGCGCCTGGAGCTTCTGCAACGGGGCAGAGGCTGGAATGACGGGGCAGGCGAGATGTATGGAGGCGTGCTCTAGGTCGACGATTTGCACGCCGCTGAAGAGTTTGCGCCATTCTCTCGACCGCTCGTCCACCCAGGGCGGACAATGGTCTAGCATCAAGCGATAGGCGATTGCTATCCAGATCCCTGTTTCTCGCGTCGTGGCTTCGCACAGCAGTCCGGCCAAGACAATCGCAAGAATTGTTTGGAAAGCCCATTCCTCGGCTGCCGAGGCTTGCCGAGGAACTTGACTGACCTTGCTGTCTGGGATGCTCAATTGTGCCATCGCACGACAAAGGACTGTGAAATACTGAGGAGCCAACCTACTGATATCGTCGGGACCCCGGATGCTGGAACAGTAGAGCATGGACGACAGGAGCAGAGGGCAAGGCGACGTGAAGACCTGCCTGCTGGGCATGAAGTGCAGTCCTGGCATTCGCTCGTGGAAGCTTAGAATAGTCAGCCATGCGAAATCAGTGGACTGAACTGGTAGCAGACCTAGACCATAAGCTCATGATGGTCCCCCGTTCCCAGACTGCAGGGGTCACTCGGGCAGGGGCGAGATTCCTTAGCACGGCAACCGCATTCCAAAAAGTATTTTGTGGAAGAACATCAGGATCTCCATTGCTCACAGCATCACTGGCATCGTCAGGAGTCGCAGACTCCGAGATCCCTAGCAAGTCTTCAATCTTCTGAAGCCGGTGGAGGATGCTGAAGCCCAGAGTAGTCTCTGTCGTCGTCGGCTGGATGGACGGGATGCCGATACCAGCAGCATTTGCCCGTGGCACAAAGATACAAGGTACACCAGCACGGAGGCATCGCCGGCAGGCAGAATCGTCGCCCGGGCGACATTTCATCTTTTGCCGGCGGCAATTGACTGGATCCCCGCAGTGTCAGTGTCAGCGAACCCACAGCCAGAGGCGCAGACTGACTACAAGCTTTTCGAGCTTTCGGCTCAACAATTTCGTTGGCAGTAGAGCTCATATTTGCACTTCCGGTGAAGTTCGGTACGGCTCGAGTATACGCGGAGAGGTAAATGTTAGAACAGGCAGACAGGACGATTGGAAGTCAGATAGGCCATTCGGGACAAGTGGACTCCGGATAGTTCTAAGAGAACGCCCGGCGAAACTCGGCGAAACTCGGCAAAACCCGGCAAAGCCCCCCGGACTGGTGACCGGGACTGCGATAGCTGGACTGGTCGACTGACAGACCTGATCGTGGAGTTGCCACAGTCCCGAAATGAAACTTTTTCTCACATGTTCGCTTCTGAATTGCATTTGAGGCTTGCTTGATAAGACAATGGGAACGCCGGAGCGCGCCAGCGGTGTTCTCTTTCCATGTCGTGCAAAGTTCGGTAGAGACTATGGTGCACCCATGTACGAGGGAGCAAAACCTGCTTGATAAGACTCAGGCCATCGTGCAAAGCCTTGATATCAACCCAAGCCAGTCGCGTGATATATCAGCACGGTTCGTTGACTTGCTCAGTAAGTCCGCCATCCCCTTCCATGTATCTTCCTCTAACTGGGTCGAGGGGCGGGATTGACACAGAATGCTCCCATCCAGATCCCGTCCTATGTCACCCGCTTACCGTCAGGTTCCGAGTCCGGCACCTATCTCGCCGTCGACCTCGGCGGTACCAATTGCAGGGTATGTTCAGTTGAGTTGCATGGCGATTCGACGTATACAGTCGTCAAATCCACGAGCTCCGTCCCGCGAGAGGTCAGGTTCAATCCGAGTCACAGGCCGTTGTTTGGCTTCATCGCAGAGCAGATCCACAAGTTCCTCCAGGAACAGTTTCCGACCGAGTTAAAATCACGGCTAAAGAAGGGCAAGGGAGGTGCTTCTCCTAGATCGGACTTCTGGGGTCTGGGGTTCACCTTCAGCTTTACATGCCATCAGCAATCTCCAAGGGATGGTCGCCTACTACGGTGGGACAAGGATTGGGATATTCCAGATGCAATTGGGCAAAATCCTTGCGACATGCTTCAAGTCGCCATTGACGCCCTCTGTCTCCCCGTTCATGTGGCCGTACTCGCCAATGACAGCGTAGGAACATTGTTGACCCGGTCATATACCACTTCAACGTCTTCCTGGCCACCTATATCTGCCATTTTCGGAACAGGAACCAACGCCGCATACGTTGAACGCCTGGAAAATGTGAAAAGAGTGCATGACCAGCCCGAATTTGCGCAGCGGGAGCCCGGCGACTTCATGATCATCAACACCGAATGGGGTGGCCTGGATGATGAAATGAAGATCTTACCAAGCACACCATACGACGTGCAGTTGGATAAGGAATCTGTTCATCCAGGTGACCAGATGCTCGAAAAGCGCGTAGCTGGATTATACCTGGCCGAGCTTTTCCGGTTGGTACTAATGGCCGTCTGGAAGGACGGTCTCTTTGATATGATCCTGGATGGCGACTCCCCCGTTTTCAGACATAAGGGCCTGCACAGTTCCTTTCTGTCGCAGATAGCGAACACACCTCATCGGGCGCTCAAAAGTGTTGTGTCGCAGATGTTTGGAGCCACTGGTATGTCTGACAACGATATCGATGCGATTCGACGGCTGGCAGCAGCAGTCGTCCGACGTTCAGCGCGTCTCGCGGGAATACTGTTGACGGCAACAATCATTGCTGCGGGCCATATCAATTCGACTTCATTGATGCGGAAAAGACCAAGTGTATACCGTGTGACAGAACACACTGAGCCACGGATTTCGAGCAAAAGTGAAGGTCGGGGCTTATCATTTGGCCGCCTCATGAGCTGGTTAAAGAAAGCGGTGTGCATCCCACCTAAAAGTGGAAATGGAAGTACGGCAAAGCTCCAATCCACGTCACCCTCTTCTTCTAGCGCTGTTCTTGGCTGGGAAGACAACGATACGATCGACGTGGGCGTGGATGGCTCCCTGATCCAACTCTATCCGGAATTCGAGGCAGAAATGCGGACAGCAATGAGGAACATACCCGACATTGGACAACAATTAGAGTCACGCCTTAGCATTGGATTCGTCCAAGACGGATCTGCGGTGGGTGCTGCACTTATGGCATTGGGAGTGACGTCTGAGACGTGACCTGGGATTAGAGGGCAAGGTCTGTCTAGAGGGCTCCTGGGCCAAGACGACTGGCCGAAAATGATGATAAATATACCCCTTTAGAAAGGTTGATTCGGAAGGCTTTCTTCCAAGTGTAAACACAAGGAGGGGGTTAAGCCTGGCTCCAGAACAAGTCATAGATTAGAAACCGCGACTCATGGGCCAAGTTGTCTGTCCAAAGTTTGAAATCTGGATTACCATAAGAGACGTGCATATTTCAATCCTCCATCCCCCGCCACGGGACATATTCCGAGTTCAAGTGCAGAGGAGCTGGTTTCAAGCACACCCATAATCAACGACTGCTCTCTTCGAATACTTCAGCATCGTAAATTTCCTGATTCTGTCGGCGATACTGGAGGCGTGGTGCTTCTCTAGAAGTCGAGACTAGTCGGGCCGTGCTCCGTGCATGTCCAACGTCTATGGAAATCGTGGCAACAATGCCAAAGATGCCCAGGATGAGAGCTACAAGAGCATCGGGCGTCATTGCGCGTTGCGAATTCGACGAATATGCCACTGGTGAGGTTGGAAGAGTCGTCATGAGGGCGAGGCTTGTTGTTGAACTAAGCTGAGTTGCGGGCGTTGCCAATGATCGTCTTTACAAGTACAGCGCAGTAGCTGTAGCTTCCCACCATGAGCATTCATCCCCACGATAGAATTAGTTCAGACTAGAACAACAACGGAAATGCATCTACCTTGCCTGTAACTGGGTCCGAAGTTGTTGACTGAAAAGCTGAAGTGTACCATTGAAGTTTTGAAATCGATTGTTGAGGTTCTGAGATTGGGTTCTGGAAAGAATTATAGACCGAGGTCTTGAATTAGAGTGAAGAGTTAAATTTAGACATTTAAGCCTAAAGATTGACGCAAATTTAAGTCTAAGATATCTAAATCATGGGGTTAAGGTGCCTAAATTATAGGGTCTAAGTACCTAAATTATAGGCGTAGGGTGCCTAAGTTATAGAGATTTAGGGCGTCGAAATCGTGTGTCTAGAGGGCAAGAAAATAGGCGCCTAGAGAGGTGCAAGTAAAAATTATTCTCGACTGAGAAGGTTATCCGAGACGCTTACTATGTTAAGCTTAAAAGCGTTCTATCTAAATATACCAGGTGGACTAGGAATAAAGGAGTTTGGCGTTGTTTCACCGACAATCATCGTCATTTTGGCAAAGTCACAACCTCATGTCTGGAAGGAAGGCATCGAGTGCTAAAGAGTCATCTATCTAGCACTCAAAGCGATATCTCAACCATCGTTCGACAGTTCGAATATATTCACAGGGATATGGCTATCGAGATCATGGCAAGACTTGCTAATAACAGCCAATTAAGAAGGCCTCATTTACTATAGGCCTTTATGGTCACTCATATATCAATCTACGCACTTCTCAAGGTGGAAGAGGTATACAAACCTCACAATATTTATATAAATGCAACACCAGCGACCTTGCGGGCTTCTCTAACAACATGGAGACCTTGTACAGACTCATTCGAGCGTCGATGAGGCCTTTCATGTCTTCATATCATCCGAGCACGCATTAAATCAATGGGGCCTCTACAGGTTGAGGATTTCGACGTTCACTGGCGTCTAGATCGATGCCGAGAGATCACATTCAACCATGCTGAGGTTGCGCAACCACCAGATATTATCCCGCAGCATCGATATGATGTGAATAACAGGCGGATGTTGACCGAGCCTGAGCGGACTGACGCCGCAATAGAACAGGCCAATCAGGAGGCAAGGAGACATCTAAATGAGTCAAACAGAGGCCTAGGAGGAAGAGGTCGCGGAGGCGCAGGAAGAGGCGCAAGAAGAGGCCGCGGAGGCGAAGGACGAGGACGAGGACAGCCAACTCATATCCCAGGAACCATGACTTTTCGACTAGACTAGGTGTGGAGCGCAATGCGCGGCGAAAGGAGCTCCCATAGAAAATAGGTGAGAGCCGCCTCTAACTAGCACTGAGACAGCATCACTTGCATCGATCCTTGCATCGTTCCTAGCCTCATCATATTTTGCGAGCCTAGGGCGCCTGAAACGTCGCCTAGAACGCGAGCCTAGAACGCTGTGAATAGGCACGCTTGGGTGGATACCAGGGAAAATTATTCCTGACAAGAAAAGGTTACCCGAGCGACGCTAACCGAAAGGGGATGGGGTGCGTAATACCCATTACCTTGTGCGTAATACCCATTACCGTTCAGGGCACCAAGTTCAGCACCAAGTTCGCGCCAAGTTCGGCATACATACTTAGTACGGGGAACACCATAAAATCATTGTATACCTTACTGATGCACTTGTACCAGCATCTATTGCTAACTCTCACTCCTTCGTCGGCTATAGCGAGGCTCTGCAAGGCTGACTTTGTATAGGCTTTCATAGTGTTGATGATATCTCATTCCAGACTAGTCATTCCCTTGATCTGGCCTGCTTCTCGCCTCTCCTGAAACATCCTTGTGGAAGCTCTCCTTCCTCTTCTCTCGACCTAAAGTTGGCGGGGCAGTGGAAGGAGGAAGCTCGTAATCGGAGGTGATAGAAGGCTCTAGACATAGATCGGCCTGCGGCTCAGGCGATGGTTCTCTTGGTGGCCTAGGTCGTTCCGCGGGGTTGGTGTCCTTATGCTGAGACCGATAGAGATATCTATAGGTGTGAGGGGCCTAAAGAACTTTATTACATAATTAGCCGAAGTCGGTGCGGCACCAAGTTGGTGCCACACTTGGTGCCCCGAACCATTTCGTCCTAGTATGCCAAGTAAACTAGATACTAGCGTCTGCAGGGTCAAATGGCTCAGAGCACGCCTGCGTAGTTGCCGGTCGCTCGGCAAGACAATCGGTAGTACCGTTACTCCGTACCCTGTACGAGTGTCCGACATCCACGCGTTCGTGGCTCCAAATCCAGGGGAAGGATCCATGCTGATTACCCGCCATTGTCAACAAGAAATCTTCCTGCACGGCTTTCGTTACACTTGCTCGTGTCCCTCCTGGGATCCTTTTCCCCCCTCCCTGGTCTTACGCTGTCTTATTTGCGCTTACGGAGTATTGCCACAACATGCTTGCTCGACGTACGTTGTGGTTTTATATTTTTGGCCCGGCGTCAAGCGCATATCTCCAAGCGAACCCGTGCAAAACTTCGTCTTTCCCTACTGCGCCAGTAAGCCTAGATGCACGATTAGAACATCTTCCGGAAAGAACGTCAGAATTGTCTCTCACCATTGATTGGCTCTCGGAGACAGACCAGTGTCTCCAGCTCTTAGGCAACGCTCCGCGAGTTAATGTCGATATTCAGATTTTCGCTTCATCGTTCCGCGAATCTACGACTTTCAACATTACATGTCACCAGCTGGACCGATACCCGTATCAGAGCTTGTTGAGGGCGTATACATCGACCGATCTGGGCGCTCTCTACCCTCTATCATGGATACACGCCGATGTACACCTCCAAAACAACAGTTCAGAAGAACTCCAATGCTTAACTGCGCAAATCACTCCCGGGCTGAACCGATTGGAATCTGGCCTCCTTCGGTATGTTCCTATAGCAGGCTTTGCATTGGTCCTGGGATCGGCCGTCTTCTTTCTGGGAACTACACTTGCTCGTAAGGATGGCCAGCGTGGGGGCCAGCGGGATCGGGCATGTCAAGTCTTACCCACCCTGGTCGAATTTTTCATGTATGTGCAGTTTGTTTTCCTCACTGCAAGTCTCAGCCTCCGCTATCCCGGATTTTATCAGCCAGCTATTAGCCGATTGAACTGGTTTTCGCTTTTCAGCAATAGCGCCCTCATTAGCCACGGGCACGTTTACCCAAGTACCAGGGATGGCATCTATGAAGTCAATGGCACGTATGGGGGAACGTTTGGACTTGAGCTCATGGCCTAGCATCTTGGATCTCCCATGACCATGGACATCTGGTTAAACATGGTCATCATCATTCTCATGATCGCCATCGTCGGGACCCTGCTTGTCGAATTATCTTGGCCGCTAATCCGACGGTTTCACGTCGCCGACAAAGGACGAGGACTGACCGGCATCCGGAACGCGACATGCCAGGTGCTCCGAATCATTCTATCCTACTTCTTGCTGCCTCTAGTCGCTATATCGTCGTATCAGTTCGACTTTGCCAGGATACTACCAGCGTATCATTCTACCCTCGCTGCCGGCTCCATATTCGTGCTTTTGATCGCATTTGCCTGGCTCTGGCGGCAGCTGTCAACGCCCACTCTAGGGATCCTGATCCTTCGCTCCAATACTCGTGATCGGAGCGCAAGCCCAAGAAAGAAGGAGGGTGCCTTTGTTTGGGTATATTTTTTGCTTGTAATTGCTCGAGGCATATCGATTGGCGCTCTCCAAATATCTGGGACTTCACAAATCGTGACCTTGGCCATATACGAGATCATCTTTCTGGGCTGTGTTGGAATCTGGCCGGAGTTGTCTGGCCCACTGCCTATTGTCTGTGCCGTTGCTCGACTCACTACTATTGCTCTGATGACTACGTTCGTACCCGGAGTCGCTACATACACAGGGCAGACCATAGTTGGTTATGTTTTGCTCGGGCTGCACGCCATGGTCATGATAATGGTCTTCTGGCTCCCGACTACTTGTCGGGTGCTGATGTGCTTTCTACCCTGTAACAGGACGGAACAACCGCCGGTAAGTGATTTATACCTACCTTCAAGAGTTGCAAGTCCTGTCTGACGATCTGTCTTTCGCGCGCTACAGGTTTACGGTCTTCGTGAGCTTCGGCAACGAATACTGTCGCCGGACTCCTCGGCAACATATTTCAATGCCGTCAGGACTCAAGATACGCCCGACGTAGCTCCCTCAACAGGGAACCCCTGGTCAGAGAAAGAAGCGCAGAGAGTTAAGGAGAGCCAGAACACTGCCACATCACGATTTTATCGCCCTCCCAAGTCTACCCGGCTTCATAAGCCAGACTCTCTTGCATCCATTACTGATGCATCAAACTCCAAACCTGACTGCAGACATCTGACGGAGGACTTGCTTCCCTTGCACGCCGGTCTATACTCTGTGGAATCAGCTAGGGATGCCAACAGCAACATGTCCTCTTGGATCTCTGGTACTGAATCGGAGCCCTCAGAGCCATCCGAAACATCCTCCCAGAGCCTACGAGGACCTCGATGGAATGATTACACCTTTCGAGAATCTGATCTTGTCTTCGGTACACCCCAACCTCCGCACCAGGACATTGATGCTCCGTCAGAAGATCTTGATAGATACACGGGGATATTTTCCGCTCAGTATCTGTGGCGTCGACTTTTTAAAAGAAAGACACCGACGGAGAAGGGATTTCAGGTAGTAAGGCCGGCTGCTCCTCCCATCTATCCCGATAGTCTCCCGCTGGTGGCAGAGAGATAGAACGGAGAGAGATATTGGCCATGAATATCACATTACAATTCCGCGGAGCACAAGTCGATACGTCGTTTTCACAGAGTCTGAATGCAGGCGAGCTCTAAAATCGAAACATGTACTCAGACCTGAGACCAGCTTGATGGGTTTGTCCTCCCAGTTAGATACCTGAGCCAAGAGGCATCGATTCTCCGGCTCTCCCCATCCATGGAACGGGCGTGTACACTCGTCGCACGCGCCGTGAGAGACGGTCTCTGCGCTTTTCCTCCAGCCGAACCGGTACCCGCCGCTGGAGCCGCTCGTCGGCAAGGACCAGGCATGACGAACCTGCCTCTACGATGGGGAGCTCGTCAGTATGGCCAACATTGGAAGTAGACATTCTTGCCTTATCCAAGTTAAGAAGATTGGCCTCAAAGGTGCCCGAGCTTGATTGAGAGAAGCGTGTGTACAGTATTTGTGAATGATCGCCTGCACCGGATTTAAGGGACGGCTTATGTTCCCATCCTTCGCCGTGTCTCAGTCCATCGACATCATCCCCCCTTCCGTTTCTCACGCTGAGCTGTTCCATGCCCCACGCAAATATATAACCATTAATGGGGACCAAAAACAGTCCCCCTTCAGCACCAGCAAGCGAGATGTCCCGCTCTTCGAGAACGAGAGTCGCCTTCGACTCCTCTGCCCTGACCATGACACCTCAAGGACTCGACGAGATTTGTCTCTTCTTAAGATTTTCTCAAAGCTATAAAGAGAAACTTCGTTAAAAGTTACACTAATCGAAATTAAGTAAGCGATAAATTATAATAATACTACTAGACTAGAGGAAACACTATTGAGCTGGTGATAAAAGCCTTTATAACCTTAGTATATACCTCATTATAGCAATATCCCCCTTCTCTCGCTACTTTAGATATATTTACTAGGTTCTCTTTCGGCGCCGCCAAGATATAAGGACCTCCTTTGGCTTCGGACCTAGTATATCATAATTAGCGCGTATCCAGGAGAAGGCAAGAGCTGATATCTAAAGTCTTAGCGAGATAAGAACGCCATAGAATATAACAATATATCGAACTATACGGAGATAATTAATTCCATCCGCAGATAGGCCATAGAAGAGTTCATCGTCCTCGCCACCTAAGGCTGGAAATGCCCCAGTCTTCCCAGTGTATTCGCCGACATAGGGAATCTCGTCAAGATCCTCATCCGAGTCGTCCGAGTCGTCCCAATCATTGTGGACGTGTCTCAAGTCCTGGCATTTCGGAGAGGGAAGGTCATCAGGCTCGAGAGAAGAAGTGTTACGTCGCTTTCGTGACATGATAAGAGACTTTCAGGCCATGGTATCACGCCGAGCGCCGCGAAAGGCCAGAGCGTCGTCGCAGTTACCAACGGCGCAAAATGTTCTGGTGAAAGGATCGTGTTGCTGGGCACTCGATCCCGAAACTGCGACGGCGACGTTTTTGGGCGACCGGTATTACGCACAAGGCCATGACCTCCCAGTCCGGTAATTATTAGTACGAACAAGGCTGTTGTTCATGTGATACCGTGTTACTCTTGTTTACTCCTGCATCATCACAGCATTCCTCATACAACGCCACCAACACTCCCATTTTACAACACATTCTATCACACCGCCAACCGGTCAAGTTTCACGCTGGAGTACTCAAAATAGATGAAACAATGCTTGATCTATATGGTCTTGCCGCCGAAACACAATTGCAGACCGAATTGTATGCCCGGAGCATCGAGCAAGAGTTGGACGCTGAGGAATTCGCAAGTTTGTCGGATAGCGAGAGTGTTAATGCGCCAATTAACGATGAATCTACCCCCTTCGTTCTCGACGATATTTCCGATGACGTCTTAGACATTATTCATACTGAGACTTGATGACTTTGACGTTTGCTAGCGGATTGAGCGTGCTGGCATCCCTCAGTATAGATATTACGACGTTACGCAACCTTCAATTGTCATTCCTCACCATAAACATAAACTAAATGGCGCTCGGCGAATGCTGAGTGAGTGGGAGAGAGTAAATCAACAGACAACCCCGCGGACAGTGAGATCAACCACTCCAGCAACACCACCAACAGTCTCCGCGGCCGACGACGACGACGAATAGAGGCCGCGGAGGTCGCCGAGGACGACGAGGAACGTCTAAACTGGCCATCCTAAGGACGTCTTAATGACGACTAGAACCTGTCAACTAGAATGTGCCAAATAGCGATGTGAACTCGTCATTTGGATCGCGGCAAATGGATCCGCGAGATGCAACAAGCTATGAAACTAGTCTAAATCCGTCCCCATATAACTAACTAGTAGGTCATTTCCCGCCGGCATCGCAGAGAATAGGATCCTGCATCACAGGCATCATAGAGAACGTTTTATATGCCATGGAAATAGACTGGTTAAGGTGGCCAACTTGGAGCCCTATGCGTTTTACAAGGCTCGGTGAAATTGCCTAGTTAGGAAACTTTTTCAGCCTTGTGCGTAATGCAAAGGTCTGTGTGCGTAATACCGATCATCAGTTAGCAAGAAGGAATAGAGGTGCCTCGGCGCGCAGTCCAATCAGGGAGATGGCGCCTCCGGATTGCAGTGGCTGCGTCGCATCATAGCAAGCCCTAACTAGTGGCCATAGCGTGCTGCCTAAATGTTGCCCCCGACCAACAATGGGCTTTCCCTTAGGTGCCTTCAACGACACCTTAATCAGGGGTGAATAAGTGTTCTGCTAAAGTACGGCACACGCCTACTTCACCAGTTGAAAAATTCGGGGAAAAAGTCGATCTGAGCGTCCTTTTCTCCCAAAGCTTTGACGACCGCGGCACGGGTGTCATCGGCCAAGCTGGCAGGGCCGCAGCAGACGACGGCCAGTTTTCCTCCCGCTGGCCGACATTCTTGCGCGCCGGCCGCGATGATGTCCTGCACCCGTGGGCGGTTTTCAAAGACACTAATACTAGGAGCGAGCTTGGTAGCTTTGACAGGGTCATCCTCATTGCCAAAGCCTTTGGAAGGTGTTGCAGGGGGAGAGCTGCTCGACAAAGACGGTGGCGTGTCGGTCCGGTCCGCGGCGGCGACCACCGCGTTGTCGTTGCCAGGCGCGGGGACAGTCAGAGGACCGATCGCTTTCTCGTTGGCGGTCAACATGAGCTTCTTGACGTTTACATTGTCGACAGCCATCTTGGCCGATTGTCTCGTCAGATACAGAGCGATTTGCAAGTCGAAGCCGCCAGTGTGGGAGCGAACGGCGGCGAGATGATGTGACAACTCCCGCTCGTACACGTCGCGAAATAACTCAATATTGCGGACTGACCACACGAGGTAGAGTTTCCGCAGCTTCAAGGTTCGTTGCGACGTGAGTTTCTCACAAAGGGCCTGGATATACGCAAGCGCCACCGTGATACCCATCCCGCCGATGATAAACAAGGCAGAGTCGTAAGCCTCTACGTTATGACCGGGACCGTATGGACCCTCGATGGCAACACGGAGACTCTTTTCCGACGACAGCGTGCCGTCTTCCTTGTCCTGTCTCGACACCAAGTAATTCCGCAATCGGGCCGTGAAGCCATCGTGAGGCCGCACGATGAATGACAGTGTTCCGTTGCCCGCCGCGGTGGCATCTTTTTGCGTGTTCCATGCTGCGAGGGTAAAAGGATGACTTTCCCAGAACTTTGCCCCATGGATGCAGTACAAATAGTAGTATGTGCCAGGACTGGGCCGCGCTCCAGCTATCCTGACGGGTACTTCGATGCGGACAACATCTGACTCTGGATTATACTTTGCCGTGGCCCTGAAAGACGTCCGGTTGAGAAGGGCAATCCGGCCAATTCGCAGGGCCCGGTCGAACGACCACACCGCCACACACGCCCATATGTAAGGATTGTACTCTCCGTCCATGATCTTAACATGACTAGGACTAGTGTTAATGATTGATGAATCCCCACAAACGCTAGGGAAAGGAGTTAGACTTACTAGAACATGGCAACAAGGGTCAGAAGCGCTAGCACGATATGAATCATCAGGAACGCATCGTAGACGTACTTCCGCACTGGAAGAATGGAGGCCCCGACGAGTAAGCTCATGGTGACGGTGGCCTGAAGCTATGAGTCAGCTCCATCTGCAGGCATCCCATCAGGCATCGGGAGATACTCACAACGGCACCCATCCACCAATATTGTTCGGACCATTGGGCGTAGTATTCCTCCTTACCACCACCTTGGAAGCGTCAGGATATCGCCATGACTTTACAGCTAAGCGGAGCACGGTGTGACTTACTCCTAAACTCAAGGACCGTGTAGCCAATACTGTGTAAGATGGCCTCAATGGTCGCCACACGAGCGGCCCAGCGGTGGAATTGGTTGAATGTGGAAAAGTTCCAACCGGTAAGCCAGATCAAAACATTGTTTCTGGTACCAAATGCCCAGATGAGGACCAAGTTTGCCAAAGAAATCACCCCAGTCCGATCAGCTATATATCGCCACAGCTGTGTAGGAATGCTGGGCCAACTGCACAATACTAGTAAGCATTTTTGTGATCCTGGGCAAGTCGAAATTAACATACTAGAGATTGTACTTGAAAACACGGTACTCTACGCAGCAGAGAACCACATTGACGATGACGAATGCCGCAATGGTAACAGATTGTAGCCGAGGAGGAACAGTGCACCAGCCAACAGGTTCTGCTGCTCGATACGAGACCAGTGCAGGTGTGGTGATGTACCGCTTCGCCAGTCGCTGTAAGCCAGAAATCTTGGAAGTTGTAGTGGTGCCTTGGAGACTTTGGCCGCTCAGGCGGATTTGAACGAGGTTGATGAGGCGTGCGACGGCTCCGATGAGGATAACAATGCCAAAGAAACCAAACATGGCGTATCTTTTTTGGTGTCTCAGTAAGTCGCTTGAACGTGCTTTGGAAGGGAGAGGGGTGGGGATGGAGCACAGCTCACCCATAATTTGCACGGTGTGTCAGTGAATTATCCCATTCGACCTGACCCGGCAATTTAGATTCTGAACGAGGCCTCTAGGACGTGGCAGGGTAGGTTTGTTACTCACCATAGTCCGGAGGGAGAGCTGAAATAGTGGTCCGGTAATGTAAACGGGAGTTTCGTAGACATGTGATTGAAGCAGGTCGAGTGGCTCGATCTGAGGCCACTTCTGCACTTCAGCAGTGGTGATGTTATCAATGATGGAGTAGGGTAACAAGTCGACCGATCCGTATTTTTGGCAGTAATCAATATAGTACGCGATTCCAGCTTCGACTTCTTTATCCGTACAGTAGCTTCTCATGCATACGAAAAGGGTCTCATCTCGGAGGGCTTCGACGCATTGCTCGGCGTAGTAGTCGGTCATGTCTTTTGTGCTGGTGAACACAAGGTCTCCCGCAACAGCTTGACATGCATTGGCGCACGCTGTCTTGCTGCCCATGGAGGTCCCAGGCAGGGCAAGCAGAGCATAGAATATCAACCGCGAGGACTTCATAATGTTAAATGTTTTCCTTGGAAGGGGTAACCAAATTATGCAATTTGACGCTCGCTTACCATTAAAAATCGCGGTGTACCACATACCCTTTATATCTCTGCCCCCTCCTAGCACTCAACTTCGAATATGCCTGCCTTCAAATTTTCTTCTCCCAGATGGCATGGTTGCATATAATGTGTCTCCACACCCGGTCCTCGTCGGCTGCGCTAGACAAAGCAGGGGAAGAAACGAACGCGAAGAGAGAGAATCCTTGGACACGGAACCCGTCAGTGCTCCACAAGGAAGACGTGCCCAAACTCGTGCTACATAACTTAACACGGCGCTTCCTGGAGGCGTCCCCAGTCGCCCGAGACCGGGGGAGTATGGAGAGAATGGCTCTGCGTACAGCTGTAAACATGGTCTAAGCTACCCTTGCTTGTCCTTGATAGAGAGGAATTACGACATTAGCCTGCATCACGACTCATCTTCGTCGTTGCCAAGTACTGTGTGCGTGCTTAGTCAAGATTAAAGTCGAATTGGCACAGGGTTGGCAAGGCTTGACACGAAGAAGAAATGACTGTTCCAAGCTGAGGTCGATTGCCCACAGTCGTGGCGAGTAGAGTAAGTCGCGGAATGCTTGTAGCAAATCAGCACACAACTGCCGATTGGAAGATTAGATTAAAAATCCTTCCTGATAAGATACTTTCTTGATCAAGATTTTTTCTGATTAGATCAAACTTTCTCTCTCTTTGCCATACGTAAAAGTCAACTAGTTGATTTGATTGATAAGATTATCTGATGTGTTTGGGCCGCACGTTGACCATAGAGAATTGACTATCCCGCCCTTGGGGTGCCTAAGCGCCGGGCAGGTCCTCCGACAACGGATGACCAGTTGACAGTTTTCGCTACGAGGAGGGTACGGAGTATTCATCGGAGAGTTTACTCGGCAATAGGTTTCCTAAGATTGCCCGAGAGATGCGCTGGGTCAACGGCGAAATGCTGCAGCATCTTCAGCCTCTGACGGTTGAGGGCAATCAATTAGAGGTCGACAAGTTCGGTGGTTGCGGGCGCGATGTACGATTTAATGCGTAGAGTACTGTGTAGGAAATAGAGGAAGAGCTAACAGTAAAAACGATGAAGTAAGTCAAACCCCGACTGAAAAGTGCGTAGACTTTGAGAGACGGACACACGTCGACAGGCCCCCAAGAAAGTCCCTGCAGGAGCTGAACGCTGAGGGGGCTTTCGCGCCGGGAAAGTCCGATGTCAAGGTCAACCATTACCATAACATCTATGCCGTGCGTCCAACACCTCGAACCCAGCGCAGCCTCAACTCGCCCCAAGAGGAAGACGCAAGATTGTACCAACCGCGAAGGTCCGAGAGAAGTTGAAGACGGGAGCGTCGGCTCAGCGGCCAATACATCGATCGACACGCCTCGCCCCGGCCACCCAGTTCTCCTTTTATGATATCGAATCCCAAGATGATGAGGAAGATGAAGAACAAAGAGGAGCAATGCTCCAGAAACTGGCCCAACTGGTTAACGACTTGAAGGAAACGGTTGAGCGTCAAAGTACTTTCCTCGAGCGCATGATCTGTTCTTTCTGATTGCTAGTAGTGAAACTACAAGTCAAATACTCACGCCTAGCATCTAGCGCGTCCGGCGAAACGCCGACGCTCTCACATCCCTTACAACTTTTGCAACACCATCAATTCACTGGATTTCGCTATATATGACTATATTCTCGGCCTTCACAAGGAGGATTTCTCTCCGTCCAGAACGTCGCCCGATAGAACGCCGCCCGATGACGGCGGATGGCTCCAGGCGGCGCGCTGTTCGGCGGCGAGAAAGCCCTCCCTCGGAGAGAGAAAGTACGCTCCTTTTGCCTATATAATAGATAGAGATCTCCCTCCTAGAGAGGGAGGTCAGACTCGTCAAGACATCCCATTTGGCTCCCAACCATCGCCTAGAACTAAGCGTTGCATAACACTTGTAGGAGAAAGCCCTGTGTTGAGGTTGGCAGGGGCAGACTAGTTGCAAAAGTCTCGATAGTGATTGAAGCCCTCGATGTCGGCCTACTTAGCTGTGAAATTGACAGTGACTGATTCAGAGACATCGATGTGGTTGCCAAATACATGGCGATGTTTGTAAGTCCGCTGCGGCCTGCGGTCAGGCCGGTTTGTAACACTCAGGTTGAAGCAGCGAATCTCAGGGCCACGCTCAGGTCCAGAGATGGAAATGGAAAGTCATCATGTCGAGATTCCGACCCCGAAACTCCTGTTTCTCTCCACAGAAAGCACTCCTCCTTGTTGGTCTTCCATGGAGTCCATGGTGTTTGTGGCGGGAATCTCGACGCCCATCCACGCCTTCCAGCCCACGTGACCTTCGCGCCGCTTTCACTCTGGCTGGCCGCGTCCGGCCCAACGTCAGCTTTTAGGCCCGGCTGGGCCAGCTTCCCTCAGCTCATCTTGCTGTAACCAACCGGCATTCTGTGTCTCAATCAGTTCATCAATTCCTGGCTTGCCCGCTTTGCCCAGAAATATCTCACCAGAGCCCAGCCGCAGAGAGATGTTTCTTGTCAATCATCTGCTGTTCTCTTAACAGGTGTATGTTGATCGTCGTGTCTGCGCTGATCAGCACCATCCGCTCTACAAAAATATGGACCAGGCCACCACTGCCGATTACCTTGTGGTTGGCGCCGGGGCCATGGGGATGGCTTTCGTCGACACACTTCTCACCGAGAGCAGTAGGAAAACAATCGTCATGGTCGATCGTTATGCTCGTCCTGGCGGCCACTGGACGACTGCTTATCAGTTTGTCCGGCTACATCAACCAGCTGCTGCTTACGGCGTGAACTCGACGCGGCTCGAACACGACGGGATCGAGGAGTTCGGCTGGAACAAGGGCCTCGCTGACTGCTCATCTCGCGACGACGTTTGTGCCTACTTCGAGAGGGTCATGAAGAAGACATTCCTGGCGTCAGGACGTGTACAATACTTCCCCAAGTGCGATTACATCGGCGAAGGCAGGTTTCGCTCCATCCTGACAGGGAAAACGTACCGTGTCACGGCGAATGACACAGAGTGTTGCGTTGTGGATGCAACTTATAGCCAAACTGTTGTTCCATCAATGCGACCGCCTCCCTATGACGTCTCCAGCCAGGTCGACATCGTAGCGCCCAATGATCTTTCTGGTGTCGCCCGTGGATACGAAGCCTATACTGTTGTCGGAGGCGGAAAGACAAGCATGGACGCTTGCCTGTGGCTCCTTGAGAATGGTATCAACGCCTCTCAAATCACCTGGATCAGACCACGCGATTCATACCTCTTGGACCGTGCTACATTTCAGCCCGGTTCTCAGTTTTCTGCCCAAGTCCAAGCCTTTGTCAAAAGTACGGGTGAATCAATTATGGCCGCCTCGTCGGTGGGAGATTTTCTCCGACGTCAGGTGGCCAAAGAACTCCTCCTTCAGCTCGATGACAAGGTGGTCCCCACCATGTTTCATTGCGCCACAGTGTCACGTCTTGAGTTTGACGCGCTCAGGGAGATCAAATCTGTTGTCCGTAAAGGCCATGTTACCAGTATCACAAGGGAAGAAGTGACCCTAGAGCATGGTAGCTACAAACCCATCCCGGACACACTCTATGTTGACTGCTCTGCTACAGCGGTTCCCAAACTCGCCCCCGTGACCATTTTCCGAAAGAACAACATCACACTTCAGCCCGTCCAACAGTGCCAGCAGGTTTTCAGTGCAGCAATGATTGCTCACGTTGAGGCAACCTACGGAGAAGAAGAAAGGCTCAAGAACGAGCTTTGCCGACCAGTCCCCATACCCAACGAGCCGATGGGTTACCCTCTCGCCATGCTCCAGTCTAATTTGAACGCAATGCGCTGGCTCAAACAGCCCCGAACCGCTTCTTGGTTGGAAACTTGCCGCCTGGAGACATTCAAGCGCCCTGTCCCGGACGATCCCGGGTTGAAAATGGCCCATAACAAACGAAGGGTAGCAACTTTGGACGCCACATGCAAGAAACTTCTACACCTTATTGACAGTTCACCTGAGGAAGATGCAGCGAAGATGCACGCGCAGCTTAAAGGCTTTTCTCTTCCCAAGTCCGCAACTGCACGACTGTAGATAGTGACAAGAAAAAAAAAAAAGGATGCGAGGAGCTGCATTGGTAACAAATTGAGCATCATCGGTCTCCACCGAATGAATGCTCCACACCGGCCCTGCACTCTCTTCGATGAAATAACACCCTGAACCATCAGCCGGCGTAGACAAACATCCACAGCCAGTCGTGGGGGAGGTGTTTGTTCATCACACCGCCCAACCAACATCATCGCTGGTACTAATCCACCAGATTCATCAGCGCTTTTGTCGAGAGTTGTTGTGCCACGGCACGGTGTAGGCTATTCGACGGCGGATTGGGAGTGTTGGATTGTGAAAAGGGTATGAGAATCCCCTTGGTGATTGAAAGAATGGAACTCTGAGAAAAGGGTTGTGCTGCCTTGTCTGAGGGCGCCAACCCCTCGTCATCGCTCAGTTCTCGTATTCGTACCTCGGAACGTCTCGCTACTGATCGAATCAACTACTTACAGTACATTGGCGATCGGAATGACTCCTCCTTCGTTGGTGATAGGCACTTTACTGGACCGGGGGGGTGTGGCTTGATTTGACTTTAGGCAGAAATGCGTTGGTTCCATGCGAAAGGGCGAAATATTCCTCCGTCGGTGTCCAATCACTGTTTCTTCAGACAGGAAAGGGACTTGTAACTCAAAAAACTGCGGGGTTGAGTGTCATGTGCTATCGCGCCACGGTCGTGACAGGGCGAATGGGATCGGACGCGTTCGCTGCCACATTTGTCTCAAAACCCTGTCTGAGTTCGTGTAAGAGTAAGACGGGAAATACTGCCTGTCCCAAGCTTCGCCGATTCTTGTGGGAATGAGGGCGTCTCCAAGATGGGCTGTGGTTCTTGGTCTCGTCTCGAAGTGTATAAAAAGAGAGCGAACCTTCTCTTTCGTTCCGTTGTTTTTTCGTTCTTTCTCTCTTGACATCCTGCCGCTTCAGATTACTCTCCTCAATTATCACTGTCAATCCACCATTTACTTTGACAAACACAGCGCTTCTCTGTCTACATCTCGTTACTTCCTTGACCGCAGCATGTCTTCTGAAGCAAATGCCTGGAGCCCACCCGCGGAGGGCTCTCCATGTTGGGTTGAGATTCCTGCCCGCGACATTGAGAAGCTCAAAGTAAGTTTTCCCAAAGGACCGACCCGTTGGGCGCCTCGATCGCGCGGTCCCTCCTTTTGCTAACGGTGGCGGGGGCGCCTGACACAGACGTTCTACAGTAACCTGTTCCCTACGTGGACATGGACATCCGGCCCCGCAGACCCTGGCCATCAGGTGGCTACATTCCAATTCAAGGATCCCAAAGGTGAGGGAAAAAGCATTCATTCGGGCCTCGCCATAGCTGTGAATAATTCCTTGACCGATCGCCTGCTTTTAGGACTGGGCGGCGGCCTTGTCAAGATGCCCGACAGTTGCGGACCGAGCGCGACCCACATCTTGGGCTCGGGCGTCACCGTCTATCACATGGTCGAATCCCTTGAAAAGGCAAGATAAATCCTTTTCTTGTTTCCGTACCTTGAGCGGGCAGACGCTGATACAAAAGATCCAAAATCACCAGACTGAATCTCGCGTCCATGAGCTCGGCGGTAAGACGGTCCTGCCGAAGACGGCCCAGGCAGACAGTGGTTTCTACATCAACGCGACCGATCCGGAGGGAAACAGATTTGGCCTGTATCAGCTGGCGCGAGGCTCCGACTCCTAGGAGGCTGGTCTAAAGCGCCCACCTGAGCAATCCCTTTCGTGCGGTGGAGTTGGTTTTTGTTTGTGTCCACCCGTTTGACGACCCCTGTGCAAACAACAGCGCAGATGCCTTTTGGCGAGAACACCCTCTTGTAACGTCCAGAGGCGAGTGAGCAGGCAGGAAGGTAGTTCTCCTCTTGAGCCGCCAAAGAGGTTGGAGAGACAGACAGGATACGATCTCGAGGTAGGTTCAGTGGGTTACGATGGCCAGGGAGTGACATAGGGGGACTTTCGATCCCATTGGTAGTAACTTAGTAAGTAGCTAATAATTCTGAGCAATACTCTGGAATTTTGGTTCTTGCTTGAGCGATGCTGTCACAGTTTTACAGCGTGTATCACAGGCGACATTGCTCGTACTCGTACTCGTACTCGTACTCGTTTGAGACTCATACTGTAAGTCGGAAGCGCGGTCAGCCACATACCTCATGAAATGCCGCATTTCCATGGGCCAGCTCACGTCATCATCACTGGGAAGTTCGGCCCATCAGTCACGATAATTTGGAGAAGATGCAAAATAATCTGGTTGTGGCCATTCAACCCGATTTCCAAAACCCTGCGGCGGACAGCTGGACGACCCCTTTTGTCGGGACCGACGATCTCTCCTGGCCACAGAAACAGTGACATCAAGATGGCAATGTAGCATCATCCCGTTCGCGCAGCAATCCGAAAGTCGTCGACCAGGTGAAACGAAAAGGTCAAACGCGAAGCGAGTCGCCCTGTGAGTCTGTGACATCTGCGACGGTTGATGCCTCGGAGTCCGGGGTCGCCACGAACGACCACGGCCAATCAAACGTCGCATCCCCACAGGGCCCCTGACCAAGTCAAACCACCTGCGACACTCTTATCAGGCTGCAGTGTCACCCTCGGAGCGCCTCGTTTGAAACTCGAGGCCGCTCGCTTGGCCATTGGATCTGGAGGTTGCATCGCGTAGATCATTCTGGAGATGCGTGATCGAGAGAAATTTTATCACATCCATTCAGTCCACCTCGACTCCCTCCGCGTGGAATTTTGATGTGTTGAGCACCACCGCCCCCAAGCGGGGGCCAGGGACAAAAAAGGGAGTCTGCAAGGCAATGATGCAAGGCATCAACAAGCAAAGCAAAGCAAAGCAGGTTCCTTCAAATACGACGTGGTCCCTACCTAGTCATGAGGTGAGTTATTCTTTTTGACGCTTCACATCAACCACATCTTCTGTTCTTGTGTCTCTCCTTCTCTGCATCGTTGGGGCGTCTCATTATTTCATTCATTTCCCGTCTTGAAGACCTGTTTCTACGAGCATCCTTTTCTTTCACAACTGCGGGATCAGTTGCTTTTTTTCTTCCAACCACCAAAACATGGCCACCAACAACTCCATCTCAAAGACCTTGGCCATCGTGCTCCTGTTCCTAAGTTGTAAGTGTGCCGCGACCAGCACTACCCTCGTCAGAAAAAAAGAGACTAACATTTTCTCGCCCGTACAGTCACAACCTTCGTTCTTGGTGCTGGCACACAATTCATCACCGGGCCTTGCACGTCCGACGCCGACTGCGCCTCTGGATGCTGCGGCTTCAACTCCGGGAAGTGCGCCGGACCAGTGGTCGCGCAAGAACGTGATGGAGGATGCGGCTTCGGCGACCCCTCTCCCAACGCCAACGCCGCCAACGCACTGACCGGCGGCGCTCCAATGGCGACGACACCTGCGTCCGCTTCAGCTGGTGGTGGCAGTGGCGCGAGTGGAAGTGGCAGCGGAACCGGTGCTTCTGCGGCCGTCAACAGTAACCTCCCCGGGGCTGCCAACGTGGGCAACGGAGCGGGCAAACAGTTCATCACGGGTCAATGCACAAGCGACGCCGACTGCGCCTCGGGATGTTGTGGTTTCAACAGCGGACTCTGTGCCGGCGCGGTGATTGCCCAAACTCGTGACGGTGGATGTGGCTTCGGCGACGCCTCTCCCAACAGCAACGCCGCTCAGGCTCTTACAGGTGGTGCCGGCGCTGGGGCTGCCGCTGCCGCCACGGGTGCCGCAGGTGGCTCTGCAGGAGGTAGCAACGGCAACACTGGCAGCAATGGCACCGGTGGCGCATCTGCGCCGTCGCCAACACAGGCTGCCGCAGCATCCATCGACAGCAGCATTCCAGGAGCAGCCAACGTCGGCAATGGTGCTGGCAAACAGTTCATCACCGGGCAGTGCTTGAGCGACGCGGACTGTGCTTCGGGATGCTGTGGCTTCAATAGCGGCAAATGCGCCGGCGCCATTATTGCTCAAACCAGAGATGGAGGGTGTGGTTTCGGCGATGCCACACCGAACGACACTGCTGCTCAGGCGCTGACAGGAGGAGCGAAGAAGAGAGCGGTGCGTGAATACATGGCGTAGGTAGTGAATCACCTCGTATGAGGGCAAAGTCCTGCAATGTCAGCAAGTAGGTTGCGTACTGTGCAACACAAATATAACCCTTGCCAAACTGGTTCTGTGAGTTGCACGCAATCATAGTCATTGCGCCCGCTTCGAGCCCGCCGGTTTAGTCCAGCCCATATCAAGGCCAAAGAGTACCTCGTCAGAGGGCTCGACTAACAAGTGATGCTCTCATTCCGAGTAAACCGACGCCGAGATTACCCCCGTGCCTCAAACGGCCGCCCTTTGCTTTTAAACACTGCTCACCCACTCGGTAGGAGCGCTCGGCACTACGATCAGTTAGATAACCCCAGCCTCCATGTGCTCCTTGCATGGTAGACTTGAAGTAATTGAGTTGTAAAGACGTCGTCGGCGGAAGTTCCCGCAGCACAGCCTATTCAACAGCAACTTCCCCAGATTCAGAACTTTCGTCTTCGAAGCGTTGCAACCATCCCTCAGACACCTTGCGACGGGGATGATTGGGGTCGAGCACTCGTTGACGAATGTCCACGACATGCCTCATCAACTGCAGACCTGCAGAATGTTGGCCCAAACTCCACAACATGATGGCTAGATTGTGCTGCGATGCCAGTCGGTCAGGATGATCCTCGGCCAGTGTCTGCTCTCGAATCTGAACCACCTCCTCCAGCATTGTCACTGCCTCCTTTACCTGTCCATTCTCCCAATACGCTTCTGCCAATGCATGCTGCGATGCCAGTCGACTAGGATCATCCTCCGTGAGTGTTTGCCCTTCAATCCGCACCACCTCCTCCAGCAGTGTCACTGCCTCCTTCACCTGTCCATTCGCCTCATATGCGATTGCCAATGCGTGCCGCGACACCAGTCGAGAGGGATGATCCTCCGCTAGTGATTGCCCTTTAATCCGCACCACCTTCTCTAGCAGTGTCATCGCCTCCGTTACCTGTCCATTCGCCTCATATGCGAGTGCCAATGCGTGCTGCGACGCCAGTCGATCAGGATGATCCTCTGCCAGTGATTGCCCTTTAATTCGCACCACCTCCTCCAGCAGTGTCACTGCCTCCGTTACCTGTCCATTCGCCTCATATACTCCTGCCAATGCATGCTGCGACGCCAGTCGA